CTCGGGTTTCCCGGCACCATCAGCGCGGTTCTCTTGTGCTCTCGGCGTTCAGGAGCCTCCTGGCTGGGTGTGGAGCATCCAGTGTTCCTCCTGCTGGGCTGGCTCCGGACGAGGCTGGGTGGGAGCAGGGACGACGTGTCTGGAATTAAACAGTCACTGCTGGGAAAGGAACGGGACCTTTACCGAACGGTCAGCGAGGGCTTCGCCCCTCAGTGCAAGCCCGTGTTTTTGCTGGCACTGGAATACAGCACTGGGATGCTTTCCGTGCATTTTTTAAACAGTAGTTCTGTTACCAAATGTAGAAAGTGTGACCAGCGGGTTTTGAGTGCCCCGGCCGGCACATTCCAAGCCCAATGATTCACGCCTACAGTTAAACCGAGGCTGCAGGTTTGAAGTTAGTTGCATATTAGTCTTTCTTGCAACTGCCTCGCTACTTTTTAAAACTTGAGGGAAGGGCTTGAGGTGGTAATGACTAGTAATTAAATGAGGTCACTGGATTTGACGCTCATTTGAGCTGACAGCAGAACGGTGTTGCATGGCTGGCAGATTAGCAGTTGTCCATGAGATAATAATTCTCCAGGGATTGATACCTGCTGGTAACTGCTGCCTTATTTACCTAACGGGGATTCTGGAGTAGTTCAGACAAGCGGGGGAGTTTGGTACTGGTGTCCAACCTCCTACAAACCGACAATTGTAAGATTCTCCTCTAAGCTGATGACAGGCTTTGGGCACTGCCTGCATCCTGAGGGGTCCAGCTGTTGAGATGCCATTCTGTGAGATCCTCTGTCATGAGCTGACTGATGAGCAGTTCTTGTTCTTTTCCCCATGGAAAGCAGGTAAACTGAGGGTGGGTTTTTCCTTTCAGCCTTCTTACCCTGTAGGAAGTGCAGGCTGCTTGTGGGGCAGCCACAGCAGGGATGGCAGCTTGCCACGTGTGTCAGCATTTCAGCAGGACTCAGGTGCTGGCATCCTGGTGAGTGTAATGGGGGCAGTAGCACAGAGCTTAAGAGAAACTTCTTTCTCAGCTGAGCTCAGGTTTTTTAAGAAGGGGAGAAGAAAAAGCTTTTAACAGCAGTGCTTCTCCCTTTCTGGAGAGGAATCTCTCTTGCACTTTGCTTTGGACCAGAGTGGGGTAGTTCCCACTTCATTGGGCTGCAGAACATTTCCATGCCTGTTTTTAGGGAGCAGGTCAGACATTCAGCTTGTTCCATGCTTTGACAGAGTCAGGCTTATTCAGTCTACAATATAATAGTTGCTTGAAAATGTTTTGGGGGGTAAGATAGAATTTACTGAAAGAGCTTGTGGGTTACCTCCCTTACCCTCAAGGGAAGAGTCCTGAAGGGAGGGTAGATAAGGCTTGTGTAGGTAGATAAGGCTCTGCTGTCTGCAGAGTCCTGCAAGGGGGAAGGTCTGCCTGGAGGAGGGGGATTGGGAGCAGGGTGCCAGCCCAGCTGTGGGCTGGGGACTCTGCTGCTCCTGCCCTGCTCCACCAGTGCCAAACAGACTCTCCCCACAGGCCTGTGAACCCCCATGTTCAGTGTGAGAAAGGTTTCCATCTCGGCCTGATGAAGTGTCTTCTGAAACAATGTTGTCAAATTAGCTTGCTGCTGTTTAACACGAAGTATTTCGTGGTGGTCATTTCTAATGTTCCTGGTGAATCAAGAGAAATGGCTCCTCATTGCTTTTCTTTGGATTTTGGTGGGATTTTGGGTAACTGCTTTCATCATTTGACTAGACAGATGGCTTCATTTTTGTTGTGTGGGAGTTTCTTGTGCCAGCCAGAGAAAGACTGAATGATACTTTAAATAGGAAAACAAAAAGAGTTGGCACAGAGCTCAGGGAGGAAGGAGGATGTTTTGAGTGCTCTCAGTTAATCTCAAATTTGCCTTCTTTCAATTAACTGGATTTTTTTTTTTTAATATGCAGTTGTTAAAATTCAGCTTAAACAACAACAGGCACACACAGATCTTACAGAATAATACCATAGAACAGTTTTCTCCCTGAAAAAGTACTCTAATGCAGGGTCTCCAGGGGTGTTTCTAGGGAGTAGCTGTAATATTTGGAGTTGAAGGCCAATCCAAATACACAATTACTGCTAGAATATTTTCCTTTTGAGGCCTGAGTGGGATGCCATTAGCTAGTTAATTCTGGCTTTTCCTGCTGGTCCTCCCACCACTCCTGCCTTATCCCCAGTACAATACAACCCTTTCCCTCAGTCAGAGCAGCAGTGCTATTTTTGATCTACCCTCTTAGGCACACAGCTTTCATGGTGCTTACAAAGCTTTGGGAACAAGGAATTGTTTTGTTTTAAACACAGCCTTTAGCAGAAAAACAAAGTGAAATGGAGCCATTAGAGACTTAGCCCTGAAATTGTTCTGGGTAGTTAGTTTAATCTTGAGGTGAGATGTAGCTACCTGACTTCCACTGTCTGACCAGGGGGCTGGTTTCAGGCTCCCTTAACAATCCAAATCCAGTCACAGGAGATGCAGAAAATCTCCGTTTTGTGATGTGGTCTGAGGGGTCAAAGAGGGAAATTTCTTTACGTACATTTAGAATGTTCAGATAGAAACACTGTCTTTTAAAACCTAACCAGCTTCCTTTACCCCTGTTTTGTGTTTTATTTCTGCTGGGCATAAAAACAGTGACAGTGCTGAGAGTCACATGAGAGACACAACTTTATACCCAATTCCCAAGCTGGCCCCAAGATTGGCTTGTTTTGTATGGATCTGGTTATCTGTAGATTGCCCTTTACCTGCTCCCTCTGTGAGTCTTTTGGAATGAAAAAAGACTTGAGGAGGTGGAAGTTTGTGCCTGGCAAGGGTTGTAAGATGATAGAGAGCCATCTCTTTTCTTTCTGTTTCCTTCCCGAGCTGGACACTCCGAGCAGGGAAGGATTTTTGGTGCCCGTCAGTCCAGAATTCTTTCCGCGGCAGCTGCAGCACTGCAGAATTGGAGCTGGGGGTTGTCTCCTCCTCCTCTCCGCCCCATTCCTCCTCCCAGCCCGGCGCTCCGGCTGCTCTGGGATGAGCTGTGCGAGCCCTGCTGGCTGCTGCCCTCACTGGTGCGTTGCTGCCCGGCAGGCCGGCACTGCAGGGGCTTTTGGGGGAGTTGGGTTTCAATGGCCACCCCGACTAGGGAGAAGCAAGGACTGCTCCTATGGACAGCTCGTCTTTGTCTTGTGCAGACTCGGCTTTGTAGTGGGATGTTGAAATATGACACAATGCCTGTTTGTTTGCAATAGCTGCAACCCTCGTAGCAGAGATTCAAGTGGGAAACAGAGAGGGAATCCAGAGACAAACCAGCGGGGGATTTAGGAACTGTGACGCCGAGTCCTCTCTCCTGTGCCGGAGCAAGCAAAGGAAAGAGAGGTAGAGGAAAAAAGACTGAGCCTTGCACCAGCCATCACCTGACGATGTGTCAGTCAAACACCCTGCAGGGACCAGATCTGCACACAGGGAAATGGTGAGATGCTATAAAGCTTTATCTAACCCTCCACCCTCTTGCTACAACCTCCACAAAGTTAAAATCCATGTCCGGAGGCTGCGTTCAGGGAACGGCGGCAGCAGCAGCTGTGCCGGGGACCAGCACCCACAGCTGGAGAGCCCAGGCCCGACTGGCTCTGCCGGTGGGACACCAAGTAGGAGAACTCGTTTCAGGTACTGTTCAGCGTTTTGTGCTTTGCAGGAACGGTGACCGAGGGGGAGGGAGGCCGGGAGGGTTTCTGGGCAGGAGGAGACGGAGCCATCTGCGAAGCTTTTGTTTGGCCTAATTACTATAAAGCTCCTTATGCACCGCGCGCCGGCAGGGAAGGGCAGGCTGTTCCGCGGCAAGGGGGATGAGGAGGCTTTCGTTCCTTTCCTTTCTCCTCTCCATCACTGGCAGAATGGAAAAATTAGTTGAGGGGCCGCTCTGAAACCAGGCCAAGGCAGTGAGGAGCCCGAGGGCTCCGGAGCGATGCAGCTCTGCAGGGATTGGTCCAGGAGCGACTGCAGTGAAGGGGGGGAGAGCAGCAGGAGGGGGAGCCGGACCCAGCCCGGCTCCCGGCCCGGCTGGGGGGTGAGGATGGGAGGGGGAATGTGAAGCGGCCCTTCCTATTCCCATGGCAGTCCCACCTCCTGCTGAGATAACACTTTTGCTCAGGGCTCTGTTTACCCCTTGCATTGTGATGCACAGATCATCATTCTCTGTTGTTTATTAATTCCTGGGGGGAAAGAAGTTGTGTTCACTGCAGAAAAAAATCTCTGAGCCAAAGGCACCATCTTGCATTTCAGAGTGGTGGCAGTCATACCTGCCCACGTGGCATTTTAATTCTGGTCCAAGTTTTGGAAAGAACGACTTGGCAAGAAAATCTCCTTTAAATTCTCAGCTTCTTTCTGTCTTGGAAGGACATAGGCAGTATGTTTGTTGTTCATCCTTCGTGTCACAGAGTCCCTTGAGAGAGGGAGCTGTTGGGAGCAGCCAGGCCATCCCACTGGAGTTTGTGAGGCCACTGAGAGGGCACATCAGCGTGTCCCAGCTGCAGGGGAACAGTTTACTAGCCAGGAGTTCAGTCAGTGCCAGGTTTGAACAGTTTGCCCTCAGGTGAGCAGACTTCTATTTGATAATGTGACCTTGGAAGTGCCAATGGTTTCTTCATAAGCAGAAGCCAAAGAATAAATGGGGACCTGAAGGCTCTTGCATCCAGACTTCCTGCCAGGGCCTGAGCTGAGGCCTGTGATGTGCTCCAATAAGCTGAGTAGCTTTTCCCTCCGAGAGTTACAAGGTCAGCTTCTCCTTATGGCCAAAAAGAGACCCCTCTCAGGACATCCATGTGACGAAAAATCAGAGATGCAGCTGGTTCTGAGGCAGAGGAGTTAGTTATTGTACTCTGGAGACCAGCTTGTCTGGCAGCAGTAGCAATATTGGCTTTGTCCACACCTTCCCTGTTCACAACCAGGGTGCTTGGGGAAGGTTTTAAGACCTTGGAAGATGTCTTTTGGCATCAGGTATTTGTGTTAACTACCTTAGGAGTGCCACTCCTGTTGTTTCTCAAGTACTTTTTTCCTAAAATTAGTGAGTGACCAACAGGTCTGTAAATTTGACTCCATCATCCCTTGGGATATAAAATACAACTTGAGGCACAATCTAGTCAATGCCTTCAATGCATGAACCCTCGGAGGGGCCTCAGTTTATTAGGTTTCAAAGATTTCTTTCATCAAAGTATCTGTTCTTTCCATAAATTTGTCCCTTGGTAGAGTGGTTTAAGTCCCAGCATCACAGATTCCCAGCTTTCAGAATATTGTTTGCTGCCCACTCTGGCTATCCAACAGCTGGAGCAGTCCAAGAAATGTTTTCTGGGCTTGTAATCTTCTGATATTTGGGAGAAGCACCTTTGTGCTTTGTTATTTCCACTTAAAGTCTCGTGTTATTATTTGGATGAACCATCTGTGACTTAGTTTTCCAATGCCACCTGCAAGTGGTCTTGTCTTTCATTTTTGAGAGTGTCATTCCTCAAATGTGACCTGTGCAGTGAACACCATCTTTTGGACAGAGGATTTTTCTTCTTTTGGGGTTTTTTTGGGTTTGGGGGTTTTTTAGGTTCACCTATTTTGGGGAGGGGAAGAACTGACCAAAATAAAGGAGTGCAGACGTGCAGAATGGATGCTTAAGTAACGTTTAGCAGCAATAAGTCGTGCCCAGCTGTCAGAGCTGGTGGCTCTGCAGCCGAGCTGCCTGACCCTGTGCTGTTGTGTGTAATCTTGCAGGTTGCAGTTCCCCCAGCTGGCCCTGAGGCGGAGGTTGGGCCAGCTGAGCTGTATGTCTAGGCCTGCTCTGAAACTCCGTTCTTGGCCTCTGACTATTCTCTATTACCTTCTGCCTTTCGGTGCCCTTAAACCCCTGACCAGAGTGGGATGGAGGCCCATGAGCAGGGTAAGTGTGAGCAGGGCTGCGCTTCGGGCTGTGCTGGCAGCACCTGGGGGAGGATTCCTTCAGTTAGGACAGGCTGCTGATGGCTGGGGTGAAAGCAGAGATGTAATTCATGTTTCAGAGGAGTGTTGGCTAATTGCTTCCCAGACTTCTTCAGTAGCAGAGAATTTGTCCTGGAACAGTCAGGGGAAACCAACAGAAACTTGTGAATGAATTCAGTCACCTCCCAAGTTCAGGGGTAGGACAAGGCAGACCAAACCTCCTGGCAGGTTCCCTTTCCTGGCCACCTTGGAATGGTCTCTGGCTTTCTGTTATTTTTGCACTGGGAGGGTTTGTTCCTCAGGTTCCTTGAGCATTTGTGATCCAGCCTGTCCAGATGATGTGCAGCTCTGCTGTGACACTGTTGAGAGCAGGGTGTGGATGCCTTGCACGTGGTTATTCTCCCCACAAATGGTGCCATTTCAGAATGCAACAACCACACAAATATTTTGATTGAAAACTGCAACAAAATTGCCATTCTTAAGACTATTTCCTTGAGCAGCTGTTCTGTTTGATTCCATCAACTTCAAAACAAGGTTCTTTTGAAGAGAAGGGGTTATTAGGAAATAGCACTTTTGACAATTTGTGTGACTTTTTAAAAGTTCTATCTGCATATTCTCCGTGTTGGTGGAAAACAGCAAAATTTATTTTAGAAATGAACACTCTATAAGGTCAGCTTAAAAAACCCAAGGTACTGTTTATTTAGAAGGTTTTATCTGAGGTAAGATTAGGTTGGCATTTTCATTCTGAAATATCACTGTATGGACATGGGATGGTGATTTGTAAGTGAAATCTTAATTTGCTGGATTTTATAGGATGGACAGGCTCTGAGCCAGTGTGTTCTGTCTCTGTTTATGGCTGTATTTTGCAAGACATTTTGAAGGATATGATTAATGTTAAGAATAAATGATGACTCTCACTAAGAAAAAAAGCCAACAACTTTAGCTGAGCTGTACTGTTCAAAACCACAGCACCAGAGTCAGCAGACCACCAGTTCTTTTCCAAAACTGGTTTCAGAGCGTTCAGTTCCTTTGATCCACATCCTCCAGCCCCCCCAATTACATCATGGCCACGTGAGCTTTTTGGCTGACAGGAAGTACCACAAACCCCCGAAGAGCTGTCTGCTGGAATTATCAACAGGAAGTTGCTGTCATCTGTCCACTTACATCAACAGCAGATACCTCTCGCCAACTTCATTTCATTTGTTTTCCTTGCTAGTAAAACTCAGGCTTATTGCAAGTCCAAAGGTACATTTCTACAGAAGTAAAGGCACTTAATTTAATACTCTTGCAATTAGCAACTCCCGTTGTTGTGAGAGAAGGAGTAAGGCTGGTGTGAGTTTATTCTGGTGTAGCTGCATCCACATGGGTATGTTTCTTTAATGGTACTGGAGTCACAGCTCACAGGACTGGGATGTGGAAACACAGTAAATGCATCTGAGGAGCAGGTCATCAAACACTGGGACATTATTTTTCAGTCAGTTTTCATTTGGTTATTCACAAAAATTTGGTAATGTTAAACCTTTGTGATTAACGTTCTACTAGAATGTGCAATGTCTCTTTTTTTCTATAAGCCTCACGTGGGCAGCTTCCAGTAACTTGAATGTGGAGCTTCAGCCTGCAGGGCACTGGGAATTCTGTCTTCAGTGGAAGGTTATAGTGACCCACAGTTGAAGGGAGGGTTTGCAGGCAGTGTGATCCTCTCTGTGGCACGGGGAGAAGCCCTCAGTGAGCGGGTGCCGTTCTCTCCGCAGGTCGCTCTGTACAAGTCGGTCCCCACTCGGCTGCTCTCGCGGGCCTGGGGGCGCCTGAACCAGGTGGAGTTGCCCACGTGGCTCCGTAAGCCGGTGTACAGCCTGTACATCTGGACCTTCGGCGTCAACATGAAGGAGGCGGCTGTGGAGGATCTGCACCACTACAGGAACCTCAGCGAGTTCTTCCGCAGGAAGCTGAAGCCGCAAGCGCGGCCGGTGTGCGGCGTGCACAGCGTGGTGAGGGAGGGAGGGGTGTGGGGAGGGAGGGAGGGAGGGAGGGCCGGGGTGAGAAAGGGAAGGGCTCTGCACAGCTCTGCCATCTCCCCTCAGCCCCAGGGACACAGCGCTGCCTCAGGAGGAAGGAAGGAACTAATGTGTCTCATTTCTTTCTCCTCACCGTAGATTAGTCCCTCTGATGGAAAGATCCTGAATTTTGGGCAGGTAAAAAACTGTGAGGTGGAGCAAGTAAAAGGGGTCACTTATTCTCTGGAGTCTTTCCTGGGACCTCGTGTCTCCACAGAGGAACTGCATTTTAGTCAGGGTGAGTTTGTGTCAGTTCTGCATTTATTCTGCTCTGCCCTTTCGGTGTTCCTGGAGATCATGAGAAATCACTTTTCCTCCCCCTTCTCTTTCTTGCATTATCAGGAACAAAAGCAGGTCTGATTTCTGTTTGGTTTTTTTTAATTTGAGGATGAACATGTCACTGTTTTAGTTCTTCTCTTTCTCACCAGTGGCATTATAGTGTCATGCCACTCTGATTATCTGAATTTAATTGCTTGGTTCCTACCCTTGGCTCTAAGTTCTGTCACTGTGCTGAGGCTGGAGCCCCCCTGCTGTCACACTGAAACAGGCCCAAGCACCTGCACACCACAAACTCTCTAAGCTGCCCCTTAACAAGATTCATGCTCAGTGCTGACCCTCTGATGACCGACTGGTGCTGTTACTGCTCTGCTGCACCAGCACTGAGGGAAGAGGATCTTTAACCCCTTCCTTTCCCTGCTTTCTCTGCAGCCCCACCTGGTAACTCTTTTCAGCAACAACTGGTGACCAAGGAGGGGAATGAGCTGTACCACTGTGTGATCTACCTTGCTCCAGGGGACTATCACTGCTTCCACTCGCCCACCGACTGGACGGTGTCGCACCGACGGCATTTCCCAGGTTGGTGTCTGTTCCTAGGAAAAGCTCTGGAGGGAAGCAGCACTGCTGTGGCCACTGCTGAGACACAGCAGAGCAGCAGCTGTGCAGACACATGAGAGATGATGGCAGCAAAGGGATTTGTCACAAACAGGGATGAGTGTTACAGCACTGTGGTTTACCAGGACAAGCCACATATAAATGATGCAAACACCAATATTGTGTTCAAGCTCTTTTAGTTCTTTGAAATACCTGACCTGATTTGTTCCCAAACACTGTTTATTCAGTTTGAACCTGAAATACAGATAGTTCTGCAGATCACATGAGACAGTAAACCAAAGTGTGATCTCTGATTGTGCTGGGGAAAGAAAATGCAACTGAACAGTTGCACTGCTGGAGCAGGGATCGGAGGTTTTGCAGACCATCATACTCTAGCTCAGCAGAGAAAAATATTTTACGTCTTGTCAAGTGGCAAAAACCTAAGTATTTGGATTGGGTTTCAAACACCCTGAGAGACATGACCTGCCACACACATCCTTCTGTGACCCCTTTGTTTTCACCACAGCCTTCTCTCTCATTCACCCTGCCAAGCATTTGCCTCTCTCCCTACAAACAAGTGACATTGTTTACTGGATCAGCCACAGTCACACTGGAAACCCCATCTGGGTGGCATTGCAATGCGGCTCCAAACCACACAGCCTAACCTGAGTATTTTCTGCCTTGTGCAGGCTCTCTGATGTCTGTGAATCCCGGAGTTGCTCGCTGGATCAAGGAGCTGTTCTGCCACAACGAGCGGGTTGTGCTCACGGGGGACTGGAAGCACGGCTTCTTCTCCCTGACAGCGGTGGGGGCCACGAACGTGGGCTCCATCCGCATCTACTTCGACCAGGTGAGCGGGGCTGTAGCAGCAGCTGGCTGGGTTGGATGGCTGAGGTTGGCACAGCAAAACAGAATTACAAAAAAAAAAAAAAAAAAAAAAAAAAAAAAAAAAAAAAAAAAAAAAAAAAAAAAAAAAAAAAAAAAAAAAAAAAAAAAAAAAAAAAAAAAAAAAAAAATTAAATCTTATTACCCTGAAATTTGGGTGTTTCTTGTACTGATGTTCTAAGAGTGATCTAAACATCATGGCCAGTATAGATTACTTCTTTAATGTTTCTGTTGCACCTTTGAATTATGAGTTCTTGCATTGAAAATGCCTGAGCATCTGCAGTCTGCAGCTGTGCTAATGAACACTGAAATCCTCAAGTGACAGTTTCTTCCTTCTCTGTCCAGGACTTGCACACCAACAGTCCAAGTTACTCTAAAGGTTCCTACAATGACTTCAGCTTCATATCCAACAACAACAAGGAGGGAATCCCCATGAGGAAAGGGGAACATTTAGGGGAATTTAATTTAGGCTCCACGATCGTCCTGATCTTTGAGGCACCCAAGGACTTCAAATTCAACCTGAAAGCCGGACAGAAAATCCGCTTTGGAGAAGCGCTGGGCTCTCTATAGAAACTGTCTCAGCAAGAAGATTTTCTATACAAAGGGACTCTTTTCACACCACTGAGTGTTTCACTTTACAAAGTCCTTATCACTCAGCAGGACCTGGGTGAGGAGAAGATGTCACTGCTGTGTTAACCTGGAGAGTATTTGCTCTACATTTACCTGCTGCTGAATGTAGAAACTGAACTGAATGATCATGGATGTATCGGGTACAGCTGCCTTTAAAGATGCTGCCCATGGAGGTTTCTGTCCCACCCTGTGCCTGTTTCATGTTCTCCCCTCAATGTGCCACAGGATAATTATGTTCTTAAGTCCCTTTTAAGCCTTCTGAGGCTGTGCAGGTGCACTGGGGAGGGAGGGAGATTACCTGTGTTTAAAGGGACACTGACAGGCTGAGCCAGACCTTGTACTTTGGAGCTGCAATATTTGTTTTTCAGACCTCGAGTAAAGAATATGTTCTCATATTTATTTTGTGCTAAGAAACTCTGCTGAATTTGTTACATAAAGAGAGCCTGTGAATGCACGCAGAGCCAAACAGTGACATTGGCTGGTGTGGCTTCACAGCCCAAACAAAGCAAAACATGCAACAGAGCATCACCAGAAAGAATTACACTCAGCCAGGTTTTCCACTGTTGGATAACTCCAGTGCTTTTGCCTGACATTGTCCCTTTAAAAATGGACTTTGCACTGTATTTTAAACCTGCAAACACTGTGTCTACATTCCAGACAACAGCACTTGTCATCTTGGGATTTTCTTTTAAAAAACAAACAGACAAACCCAGACAGAGGTGTGCGTCCTATTCCTAATCCATGGGTTTATTTTGCTACTCCAGGCCTTAAAGTTTTTGTCTGTATGAGAGACAGTTACTTCACCTCTTGGATTATGGAGTTGGAAGACACAGGGAATGTTTTTCTTATGTGATGTGATAACAACTAAACTATGTTTTTACTTTCTGCTATGTATCTTCATTATTGCTTTGTCACTAAATTATTGAAGAATTAATTCCTCTGTTACAGAACAGCTTCAGCTACTTCAGGACCATTTTTTATTGCTCAGAGTGAAATGCCCTATGCACTGACTGTGTTTAAAAGCATTATGGCTCTTTGAAGAAATCCCACGTTGCCTCCCAGGTGCCAACCTGGCCCTCCCTTGACCGGCAACGATTTCATCTCACTCAAAATATTAAAAGAATCCCACACTGGCTCTAACTTCTGCCCTCATACTTAATGCTAGGAACGTGCTGGGGGCTGAAAGCTCTGTGCTGAAGCTTCATCCCCAGTAAAATTTGAGAGTTCACGTCAAGGAGAGTTAAACTCTCACACCTGGGATCTGTTGCAGGTGGCACCATGTGGTGCTGACAGAAACCGCTGCCAAAGTGAAGAGGAATTGAGTTTTAAAGCAATGCAAGAGTTGTTTTTGGAGAATAAACTGTTTCAAGTCCCAGCACTCAAACATTTAGAAGTGATTGTGCTGTCCAGAGCCTGTTGGAGTGGACACGCTTATGAAACCTGCCTTTCTGCTTTTGAAAGATTTCTCATAGTCCTTCCTTGCTTGAGCTACTTTTCTGCTACTTTCAGGAGTCAGGCTTTGAGCAGCTCTGATCTCCTAAAGAAACCCTTTTCCTTCTTTGTATGCACTGCAGAAAATAGAACATCATTTTGTTGTCCAGATGTCCAGTTTGCCAAGTCCTGTATGCTTAGCTTGTCATCAGGGAGGAAGGGATGATGAACTGCCTCTCAGTGATGTAGCCCAGCCCTGGGGCAGGTGATGGTGGTGGCTATGGGGGTGACAAGCTGGAGAAAATTCCTTTGGCTCCAGGAGTCAGTGTTTCCTCACTTTACACAGGGGGGAGTTTGAAAGCTTGAAGTGGCTCTCAGCCACCTATCTTGTTAAACTTCTTGGCATTAGCAAGGTTACTCCTGCAGCAGTATAGTACCAGATGCGAAGTTGTTTTTTTTTTTAAACCTTTGAGAGTGAGAAAAGAGTAAGTCAAATATCAACCCCAAGAGGATAAAGTTATGGTGAGATTTTTGATTAAACTTCAATGTTGTGTTAACAGTAGAAAGCAAATTTGTTCCAGTGGATGAGAGAAAGAGACAAGTGAATCTTTTCCCCCTTTTCCACTGGGGCCTGTGGCACCCAGACACAGCCAAAGGAAGTTTAAGCTTTAATTTCTTCCTACTCAGCATCATCATCCACAGTATGTGAAGGTCACTGTTAGCCTGGGATGGAGGATGGATTACCTGATGTTTGCTTTATTAGAAAGCTTAGGAAGAGGAAAGGATCCAGCAAGTGGCTGTTTTTAGGATGGTTTTGATACTGTGCAGAGTGAGCTAATAACCCAACATTGCTCGTGATGCAGGTCCAGCAACACACCCAGAACTGAAAGCAGAGTTCCTGGAGGGTACTGATAATGCTGTGAATTTCTCCTGCCTGGAGAATCCATTTAATTCAACTGTATCAGTAGCACGGTATTTTTGTATGTCAAAGTGTATGACTTACTGACATGAACTCATTTAATTGCAAACATTTTGAAATAAAGAGTCTTATCTGTGTTGCTTATCTTTCTGGCACAACAGGGTAACCTAAACTAGGTACTTCAAGTGCAGCACGAGGTAAATGGAGCTCCGGTGTAATTTTTAATCAGCTTTAGTAACAAAACAAGAAAAAAGATTTTAACTTAATTTATCAAATATAAATGCTGTCCACAGAACTAAGTGAATGTACACATCTCCATCCTCCCCTGCTATCAGAGGGGCAAAAATTCCTACCCCTGAGCTGGCAGGTTGGTTGAGAGGCTTTACAGATGCAGGGCCAGCTGGATCTCACGCAGGCGGGCGAGCAGGCTCTGCACGTGCTGTCTGTCTGTCTGCTGTGCTTGGCTCAGAGAGCTGATCCTCACCTGCAGCTGCAAGGGAAGAGGAGAGCATGAGCTGTGTGTACAGCAAGAGCTGCTCCAGCAGCCTTTGTGTTACCCACTTAGAGCCAGTTAAGGGACAGGAGGTTCCCTTGGGAACAGCTCTGCTGTGGATTCAGAGGTACCAGAGCGGTCCCACTCCTGGTGTAGGAACATGGGGATAGTGTTGGCGCAGGCTGCACACAGGGGAACTGTCTTGAGAAACTGCAGACTAGATTCTGAGACTGAATCTCCTAAAGCCTGATCTGTAGCTTGGAAATAATCTCAGAGAGGTCTGTTGGAGCTGGAGGTGCATTTCTGAACAAACAGGAAGATGCATCCCCAGAGCCTGTTGTCCTCAGCCCACTTCTGCCTACAAGTTCCCCTTCCCTTGGCATTTTCCCAGCAGCTTAGTACAGAGTTCCTCACAGCTGCCATCAGCCTTTATGCTGAGTGCAGAGCACAGTGACAATCACCTCTGCAGTTTGCTTTGTACACACCTGAGCCAGCTCTTCCTGAACTCGCACACCAGCTGGGGCTCCTGGTCCTGGGCTCAGTTCCAGCCACTGCTGCAGAATCTCTGCCTGCTGCTGACAGGACCTGATAAAATGGATTAGAAGGATTTTTACTCCAATTAAGAGCTCAACAGTCTAAGCCAACTTAGACTTGCAATTGATACTTGCAATAACACCCAATTTTTTGTCTCAAACCTGTGAATGGTTAAAATCTTTTAAAAAAGTGGAAAGGAAAAAGGATGCTGGAAAGCAGAGGAATCTGAAAACTGTTTTCTCCATCTACTTCTAGTCACTGACTTCTTCTTTTCCTGAAGGAAAATCCCCTCCAAGCTTCATTTTCTTTTAAGCAATTTTGTAAATGTTTTCTTGTTCTAGTTGAGCAGTTATCAAATACCAGCCATATTTATTCTTTAATTGACAGTTGGAAAAGCTCAGTCTTCATTCCTCTTGATAAAAGATCTAAAAGCTGAATTTCAGCTGCTCTGCCCAATTAATTTTTCCTGCCTTCAGATTAGACTGTGATACTTCTGACATGTCTCTCCAAGAGCTGCCAAAGGTATAATTAAACCCCTTGCTGACTACAGAAATTGTGCACATACTCCCTTTCACTGGGAGGGAACTCAAAAGGAGAAAGTTAAAACCTCTAGAACTTTTGTCTGTTCTATTCATAGTTCCACTGTGAACAGACTGACTATTTTCAGGGTAGATGCATACAAATAGTGCAGCATTGACAACACAGAGAAGGGCTGGCTAAAGGGCCTTTGAACATACATGAGCTCCAGCTTCCTGCTGTAGTAGTACTGCATCTGCTGCTGGATGTGTCGGAGTTCAACCTCCACCTTTCTCTGCAACTCCATTTCTTCTCTGGAACTGTGCTCCCTCTCCTCCCCTTCAGCTGAACGGCAGACACAAAGCACAAGCAATAGGAGTAGAACAGACATCCACTGTTTCTTCTTTTCAAAGAATCAGGAAACATTTTTAATAGGCAGGAAAAAATGGAACCCTCCTGAGTCCTTACACGGTTTGTGACCCTGTGACATGTACCTGTTCACCCAATAGGTCAGTACAGAGAGAGCAGCACAAGCTCTGAAGGTTCAGTTTGAATATACACCAGGTAAGAAGTGGTCTATTCAGGATTTAGTGGTTTATATCTAGTCTAGAAGAAATTCGGTAGTTAAAGTCTAGTCCTGCAGAGCAGAAATGTCATGCCCTCGTGTCATTAAAAACACCCCAGTGAGGGGTCTCAGACACCCTTCACACCCACAGTGTCACACAGGGAGCTCTCAGAGCCTTCCTGGGTGAACTCTTCCCTCCTGAAGCAAATTCTGCCCCAGCACTGAGCACATTCTTGCTAAAAGAAACCAACCCTAAGTAGTTCCCACCCTTCAATCCCTAGAACAGCAGGTTCAGCAGAATCCACACAACTGTATTACCATCCCAAAAAGGAACACCGATACCCTTTCCCTCTTGATGATGTCATACAAGACTGCCTTGTCTCCTGTCCATTTTGGGGAGGTGACTTGCAGTCTTGCATGTGTTAGAGGAGGCTGCAGAGCTGCTACAGTTCAGATCTGAGGACCTACCTGCAGTTTGGTGACTCCACTGTCCCATCAAGTCTTCAGGTGACAGCAGATGTGGCTGCAAATTTGGTTGAAACTTCATCTCTGCAGAGTTCTGTTGGGAGCCTTGGGAATGGGCTCCTTGGTGATGACTCACTGGCTGACCTCCTCTCTGCAAGGTCAGAAGGATACTGGGTGTTTTCTTGCCTCAGCCCTACAAGCAGGATGCACCTGACCTACTCCACTCAGACAACCCCTGCAGTCACTCAGCCCCTCTCATATAGTGCCACAGAAGAAGCAGAGCTTAAAAAATGGGCTCTTTCATTTCTAGCATAGAGACATTACATCAATATTAACCCCCTCATTCTGTGTGGAACAAGGGAGTTTAAAATGCAAGCACTGACTTGCAGGTAAAGTGAATTCCAAGTTTTTGAGCCTCTCAGACACAGCCTTTCCTCCTAAAGTGAGTTATCCCTAAATCCCTGTAAATCTGGATGGCCAACTGTAAGTGCTCTGAGCTCCAGCTGGGCAGCTCAGAAGAGCCACAGAAAAACACAGCAACAAGCAACAGGCTGTTGACAGCAGCCCAGTGCACTCACCTGCTCTGATCCAGCTGTCATTTGGGGCATGAAAGAGGCAGGAGAGCAGAGCTCTGGGCCCTGCCCAGCACGGGGCACACCTGGAGCCCACAGTGGGAGAGAGGGGAGAGCAGCACGTGGGAGAGCAGGACGGGAATGAGCAGCACTGCCCATCTGAGACAAACATTTACAGGTGCTGCCCTCCAGGTGAGGTGTCTGCAGTAAGGTCCCAGTCTGGGCAGAACATTTATTCACAGGTGTTTGCTGAAAGGACACCTCTGACCTGTAAAAGAAGAAGGATGAGGTCACTACACAGTGCAACCTGTTGGTCTTGTCCTTTGCAGTCAGTGGGAATAAAGGGAGAATCTTGCAATCTCCTTGCACACAGCTCCCCAGTCAGCTGCCTCACCATGCCCACTGTAAGTCACCCTCTTTCCTTCTCAAAATAGATTTTCTACCTAGCAAAAGGAGGTTCCAGCAGTTCCTGGCTTTCTAGAGACTCCAGAAGGAAGTCAGGCCTCCGTGGTGGTAAGCTGGCTCGTTGAATAGCATTTCTGAAAATAAAAACAAAATAATGCTCCAGATTAGGGATTATTTTAAATTGGCATAATCTGCCCTTGCAGCTAAACAAACAGTTGTGTTTCATCATCCATCCCTGCTCTGCAACATTCCCCTTGCATGCAATAATAATTCCTACAGACTAAATTTCCTCCTGTATTGATGTGACCATCTGGTTCACTGTGGGAATGGCTGTGCCCACACAGGGAGTGGTGGAAGGGACACAGCTGACCAGGGCAGAAACACTTCTGGCAGCACAGACAAGCTTAAAGCAACGTGAAGTTACCATCTTGTTTCCCTGTAGGGTTCCTGTCCTGGGCTGAGAAGCTTCATGGAAGATTACTCCTTGCAATTGCCCTGTGATCAATAGGAATTTTTTTAAGAAAAAGCTTCCCCAGGGAAAAGGGGCAAGATGAAAGTTCAGCTTCTATATAGCCAGGATCTTGACGTTTATCACTTCATCAGAGCTTATGCATGTCTTCAGTGAAAAAAACAGGAGCTTCAGTGACAGCTCTAGGTCACTTGGGCAAGATAAGCTCTGCTGATGGCCAGTCCCACAACAATCTTTCAGTTGTTCCTCTGTGTAACTGTTCCTATGACAAATGACCAACACTCCATGAATTCAGCTGTATCTTGAGATAGTGAAGGTCTGCAGCTGAGCTGCTTCTACCTGTTGCTGATATGCAAATATAAAGTCAAAAATTCCTCCATTGTGTGTGGGCTGATGTTTGCATTTCACAGCAGCTCTTTGTAATTGCACCACCAGCCACACGATGCAGGCTCAGAGAAAGAGTTAAGGAGAGTGCATGAAACTAAGTCATCAGTGTGAAAACTTGGAAACAGAAATGAGACACACTTAGATGGACTACATATAGGCAAAGCTACACATATGCCAGGGAAATGGGGGAGGCACTAGAAGTTTACACTCACAGATCACTGCCAACTGAGCCCCCGTCAGCAGGGTGCAGTGGTAGATGTCTGCATTTTGAAGGCCGTGGCTCTTCCTCTGCTGCATGTCCTCTTGTCTCAGGGCTAACATCAGGCCTCCTAGATGTCACCTGCTTCTTCAGAGGTGGCAGAAAAGAAAAAGGTTTATTTATTTTCTTGGAGAGAGCCTTCCGTTTCCACAGCGTGGAACAGCGGTACAGGAGTGGGGAGGGTTGTGGGCTGCCTGGTAACACAAAGAACAGCAGAGATGTGATGGCTGAGAGCAGGAGCAACACCACATCCCCCAGGGAGAAGGACACTGCAGAAAGAACTGAGATTTCTGATGACCTCACAGCCAGAGCAGCTAAATTAAGAGGTTACTGTGGAAACATTGAGGCAAGAAGGATCGGGTAGTTCTGCAGCAAGGCGAGCTGCACATTGTAGCAAATGGAACAACTGGTGTCTTGGAAAGCTGCAACAGAGCTGGGAAGGCTGCCCAGGAGCAGGAAGAGAGCAATCAATACAGGCATCCCTATCTTCCTTTGCACACACAGGGCTGGGCTCATACTCAAAGGCAGAAGGGACATAAGCCCACATTTGAAGGTACAAGCAGAGCTGAAGCTAAGGCAGGATCAGATGCAGCCTCTAATGCTTCATTCTGGCACAGAATTTAGAGACCAGACCCATGTCACATGCAAAGGTTTTATCCAGGAATATTGTCTGTGGCAGAAATTGGTTGGTTTTGAAATCGTTCCATTAAGAAGGTTCCCAGTGAGCAACAGGAGTGTGAAGTGCTCCAGTCTCAGCTGAATAAAATGCTCTGAACCACAGGCAAAGGTGTGTGTGGGATCCAAACAACAGCTGGGATGTGGAGCTCCAAGATACACAAACACATCCCCACACAGAGCAGGGACCAGAGCAGCCCAGTTCTGGATGTATCTGAGCAAACACTTCTCTCTCTCACCTGCAGCTGGTGCTGGGCATGGAGCTGATCCTGCAACTGTTTCAAGCCACCAGTGTTTCTCAAGGCCCAGGTTCCCCCTTCTCTCAGAGAAGCCCTGTGGTGAACTCCTGTGCCTTTTTCAATGCCAACTTTCTTCTCCTTTTGCTCCTTGGCAAATGTGAGCCAAGCATCAAATACCTGCAACAGGAACGAGAGAGAGCTGGGAGTGTTACCCAGACAGATTCCAGGCCAGGGACTCCCCCTGCAGACAGAACACTCTCCGTTCCACAGGATAGGAACAGACAGAGCTACTGCAACAGGACACTTCCACAAGGACAAAGGGACAGGGATTTCAGTCAGCTGAGGCTGGATGGGGTAAAACACATATTCATTTTTTAATGGGCTAAGACAATTTAAGGACAGTTTTCCAGCATCCCAAAATAATGTACAGAAACCCAAAGATGACAGGAAGCAGATACTCAGTGTGCACCGTGCTGACTGCAGTCAGACCTGTCCCTGATCTGCACATCTGTAAACCCCTGCCCCACAAACCCCTCACCTTCCTCTGCACCGCCAGGGACCAGTGCCACAGTGCCTGCACCGTCTGCTGCTTCTCCCACTGTTGCTGCAACAGCTGTCAGGGAAAAAAAATGCACAGCAACCAGGTTAGGAGTTCACACACCCCACACCAGCCAAAGCATCAACCAAAGAGGAAATGCTGGTAGAGCCAGAGCAGAGAAACCTACTCAGTTCACCCAGTCTATGGTAAGGTGTGTCTCGTGCTAGTAGAACCAGAAACTCCTGAAAATGTTTAAATAAACTTTTTTTGGTCCTTGTGTAAACAGAACATGACAGAGAAGAATGGATAATGATTAGCAAGGAGCGAGGGATCTCCCCAGGGGGAAATTCCTTACCCGGGCCTTCCAGCAAGAGAAGGCAGCAGAGCAAAGCCTGCGAGTCATGAGGTGATCTCCCAGTCTCTGCAGCAGCTGCAAGGCAACCAAAACACTGAGTCACTTGCAGGCAGACCTCATTTATCTGAGTCAAATGCTGCTAGAGCAGAACAGCTACCAAACAGCCTTTATCAGCCTCCCTTTGTTCTGCTGAGGTCACCCTCAACACCCACATGCCCTACAGTGTAACCCATCTGCAGGTATCTGAGTCCAGCCAGGATTTCAGGATTTCATTCACAGTAAATGTCCCACCCACGGCAAGCTCAGCTTGTCATCTCTAGTTAAGTCTGTTACTTCTATCAGTTTCTTCAGGCAAGACACAGGCAGGTTCCTTCCTCCTCAGCACATAAGGCTGTCACGCTGCTCCTCAGCCAAGACTGTCATTCCCCTCTCCAGGGCACACGTGGCACTTCCCACAGGCTAGGGAGGCTGCTGATCCCTCTCACCATTTTCTCAAGGCACTGCTGATGATAATTTTTCCATTTCCCCAGGTACTTGTGGAGCAGGTGCTGCTGGTGGTGCTGTACTGCCCTGAGGTGCTGAGCCCTCAGCATCAGACACTCCCTCGTTAACTGCCTCCAGTGAAGAAACAAGGTCTGCAAACGCACTGTCAGGAGAAGATAAATTAACCCATGTACCAAAAGGAGACTATTCATTTCAGAGTATCAAGTGATCAGCTGCTCTTGCAGACTGTTTCATCAATACTGAACACGGACAACACACAGCACTGACAGAATTCACTGTAAGGAATAAAAGTGAGCTGTGACTTGCAAGTCCTCCCTGCTGCCACTTACATTCTTTATAACCTTTAGGAAAACATTTGCCCTCTGTGCTTCAGAGTCCTCATGTCAAGAATGTGGCTGGTACCATGAAAATGCTTGCAGAGTTTGAGGGCCTTGAAGCAGTAATATTGAACTGCCCTCAAAACAGGTGTCTGAGCTTCTCAAAATTAGTAATGGGAAAATTGCTTTGAGGAAGGAAGTGTTACCATCCCTTATACAGACAAGAAACCAACAGAGAAGCAAAAGCCACACCAGCCGCCTTCAGCAGATCACAGGAGTGCCAAGTCATTCTCCATTCTCTGGGGATGTCCTTTGTAAGTTACCAGACCATCCAGTCACTTCATCTGCCCACATGACACAACAGACCATACACAGAAAACGAGGTGTTTTGAGAGATCAGTATCTCCATCAGCTCACCTACATCCAGATGTTTTCTGGCTTCCCTCACAGCTGTCACCTTCTCCTGGCGGTGACGCGCTCGCAGCCAGGCCGTGTGTCTCCAGTGCAGCAACACCTAAACACACCATGCAAACAGGGATGGGACACTCACTGGCACTGCAATGGAAGGGGAGGCAAAATACTCCCCACTGCTGCCAACACAACCATTTCCATCTCATTTTCCACATAAGGCTCAGCAAGAGAGTGAAAATTTCCCAAAAATTAAACACAGCAGTACTTCAGAGGGTCCCCCTGGCATTTTTCAAGGCATCCTTCTTTTCCATCCACCCACCTTCCTGCTCCACCTCACCAGTATTATTATGCTACATCAGACTGGTTTCCCCTTCCTGCTAAGAAATGAGGAGAAAAAAAGGAAGAGGAAAAACTGTGGGCTCTCAAGTTTCAGAGACAACTGTAAAAACAAGATGAGGCTCTCAGTTTTTAGACCTTTCTTAGTAGTGACTCTCAGATCAAGTTTTTGGTTGTTCTAATTGCATTACCTGACGCCTGCCCTGAACCAGCACCTGTACTGACCCCTGGGCAGCTGCTGTGCACACCCTACCTTTGACAGCACTGCCCTCCTGCAGTGCTCATCTGCCTGAGCTGTTGCCTTGGTTTCCTGTATGAGAGCAAGGGCATTTTCTCTCCACGTACACAGCAGCTGCCTGAAGGCAAAAATACACCAAAAAATGTAAAACCAAACATTAAGAATGATTCTCACTTGTTTATTTGGCACCTTCCTACTCACAAGGGAACCAAAACCAGCTGCCTCTATAAACTCAGTCATGCAAATCACCTTGTGCCCGTTCAGGTCTCTGCTGAAGAGAAGGCAGTGCAAAACACAACTCTCTGAAATCCAGAGCTCAGCCAGTCAGGCTCTGCAAGGGACTCAAGTTTCATAGCATTAAAAAAAATAAGGTAATTAAAACTAAAGTAACTGCAACCAGTGCAGTGTGGTAATCTCTTTAATCACTCTCCTCACTAATGGCAGACAGCCTCTACATCTTCTACTAAAGCATGGCAGAGTCAACCCCCAGCACTGAACACTGGAAAAGTTACACAGGTGGCAGTGAAAGAAAGTGGTGAATTTGCCTGCAGGGCAGTCCCTTCCCCCAGGCTGCCCAAGGAAAGGCTCACCCCAGCAGCAGCCTGGTGTGCTCCTCCTCCTTTGCAGCTACTCGGTACAGGACACACTGGACATTTTGTTGGTAACTCTGAAAAAAAAAAAAAAAAAAAAAGCATTGAGAGGTAAATTTCCCTCAACTGTTAACACCTCTGAGGAGAGGAGACATCTGGAATCTCTAAGTAGCAGCTCAGAAGAGTAACAGTGGAGAAAAAAAAATACTTGGAGCCACTGAAATCAGATGCTGCTTTTCCGTGACAAGCAGTGAACACAGCCTAGTTCCTGCTCCCTGTGATACACCCTTCACCAGAGCCACGAGATGACACTGGGTGTGCTCCACAGAGCAGTGCCAGAACTTACACAGCCCTACCTACAACAGCCTGCATTCCACCTTCCTCACCTGGTGCCTGGAGTGAAGCAGTGGGGCAGCTCTTCAGCTCTCACTGCAACACTTAAGCACAGCCAGACAACAGAAAGGGACATTCCCTCCTACCTTCCAGGCTGCCAAGGTCTTGCCCAGCAGTGTCTGTCGATAGTGCAGATCTGCTCGCACCAACTTCCTCCACTTGTCACGCTGATGTCCCACATACTGCAAGGAATCATAGAATTAATCATCAAGTCCAATCCTTGATCCAACCCACTGTGATTACCAGATCATGGCACTCAGCGCCACATCCAGCCTCGTCTTAAAAACCTCCAGGGACTGTGAATCCACCACCTCTCTGGGCAGGCCATTCCAATGCCTGATCACTCTCTCTGAAAAGAACTTCTTTCTAATATCAAACCTAAACCTCCCCTTTATGAAGGGGGAAAAAACCCAGAAGATGCTTACACATGAAGGAAGGAAAACAGGCAGTGGCAGAGGGAAGAAGGAAAGGCACCATTCTCAGTCTCTGGGGAAACATCAATTCTTTATCCTGCTCTGAGAGGTTGTCACACAAATTGGTGCTGCACTCTGCTATTCCTACAAAAGGTCTAGTTGAGGTGGGTTTTATTCCTGCCCTTTGTAGGAATCCTCTTGCAGACTGATTCAGGTCACTGAAGTTAACAGGTCTGCACCAACACACAAGTGCCAACTGTAACATTTCTCACAGATTCTCACAACACGCTGCAGGGCACACCTGGTACATCGTGGTAAGGGAAAGGCCCAGCATAAAAGTACCCTGGGACAGGGTCTGCTACAACCTGCACAGAGCTACAGGCCACACACAAAGGCCTGGCTGCAAACGTCCAACCTGAAGTTTTGAGGACACACAGAGTACTGGGTAGGGACAATTTCATCACCTGACTCTGGTTACATTCTCAGGTGCATCTAAACTATAATCCCATCCTCACCACATCTAGACACATGAACAAGAAGTCAAAGAGCTCCCTCCCCTCCCTCTACTGTTCCACCCACACTGAACTAGTTTTACCCACCTGGAACAGGACAGCCTAGGACTGACTAGTGTTTAAATAAATAATTTAATTTCTAGCCATATGGGTACAAGCAATCTGACCATAATAAAGAATTCTTCCCCATCTCTTAACTCTCTCACCTCCCTCCACTTGTTCCAAGTCTTCTGCAGACACTTTGAACAGTGAAATCTTAAGGCTTGCATCTCCTTGAGCCTCCTATAAAGAAAAATAATTATTTCTCCTTCAATGCAATCCACGTTACTGAACCCTTCTAGCACAGAGCTGAGTCCACATTTGTTATTTTCAGTAAGTCATTTACTGAAACACAAACTAGTAGGCTCCAAAGCACAAATGAGGAGTCGGCATCATTGTGAATTAAATGTTGTTTGTCCTCAGTAGGCCAACGCAGGGCCAATCCAAACCACTCCCCCTTTTAAAAAAAACCTCTTCTTACTCTTTTTTTCTCTCCTGAGTACTTTGCTTCCAGAGGCAGAAGGCCTTCAGCTGCAGGAGGTTCCTGTAGTGATCCCTGGCACGAGCCAAGGCCTCGTGCTCCTCCAAACGTGCCGCTGTTCTTCTGCGCCAGGAGCACCAGAAACAGAGCAGCAGTCGCCTTTCAAAATGACACCTAGCCTAAGGGGAAGGAAGGCGGCAATGAACACCTGACACAGGGCACCTACAAACAGAGAAAATCCTTAAAGATGACAGCACAGAACTGCCCAGTGCTGTTTTCCTCTCCTCAGGCTGAACAGCAATGGACACACCAAAGGCCCTTTGCTGTGAGGTTATGTAACATGTTCTGCAGGTCCCTGTGTGCATGTGGAGGGAGGAACTGTCACCAGAGACCAGCAGAGCAAAGAGGGGAAAATTACAAATTGGCAAGTGGCATGTGAAGGGCTCCGAGAACCGATAAGCCCCAGAAACCAGTCCTGCTGAATTCACAAGAGCTGATAATCTCCCACCAGCAAGAGTCAGCCATATCTGCACAAGGTCACCCACACTACCAAAACCTTGGAGTTGTGTAACAGACCACAAAAAAAGAGGCAGTGGCTCTACATATAAAGGCTCCAGGATTACATATATACATATATATATACACACATCTTAGGAAATGAAGGACTCCTCAAGCAACTTTATGGACACCTACCTAGAAGCAACTAATTTGTCAGTACAACCCTGGACTTCTTAAATAGGCTGGGGTTGGTCCTTTAATTATTATTATTGTTTCAGTGAAGTAACTATGAAAATGACAGTGTGAGAGTTTCCCCTGACTTGATCTCCCACCAGGGAACAGGGAATTTACAACACCCAAGTCCATCTCATGCTAACTCACGTTCACAGACAGGGAGTAAGAAATCATCCCCTCTATTTCCTAAGCAAGGGCAGGTAAGAGAGTTACATTTACCCTCTCCTCCCCTCTTCGATCCTCCTGCAGCTTGCAGGCCTTCAGCAGCCACGTGTCAAACGCCCATCTCATCAACGCCCTCCTGCAGGCAAAAAGGGACAATGTCAGCACAGGGGAGAATTCCTTCAGAATACACACTGACTGTATGGAAGTCAAACAGCCAACCCATCTACAGCTTAAGCAGTTACTTGGTTTTTCAAATCATGCAAGCCTTCTTTAGAAACGAGGCAGCAGATAGATCATTACTCTGATATAGTCCAGCTCTGAAATCCAAACAAGCCTCAGAGCTTGGCTTAATCAATCTCTCTCTCACAATCCACAGAGAAGCAGGAGATGTAAATTGTTCAGTACTCATAGAAAATATCAGAGCAATTGGCATCAAGATGGTCATGTTCCCAAAGTATCACCAGACTTTAAAGGAGAACCAAAGGCCCACAAGCTCCACATTTGTACAAGTTTGTATTAATATTTCTCTGGGTACCTGTAACGGACACAAGCCACTGATGTTAAGGCCTGATGCTGCTGCTCCTCCTTCTCTTCCAAACGGCTCTTCCAGCGGTTCCAGAACTTCTGCAGCACCTGAAAGAAAACAAGATAGACACAAAAAAACCCCATAGATGTCAAGGGAGGAGAAGAATGCAGAGAAATCCATTATTAAAGTTCTACTGAAACTGCATACTGCAGTGGTTGCCTCCTGCACTGCTTCACATCCCAAACCTGCTCAATAACCTGCTGTGAATTTTTCTGGTAAAAGAAAAAAATCAACATAAACGTAAGGAAACAGAAAACTGCATTAATGTATCTAAGAGTGGCAGTTGACTTACACAGGAGATTTTCTGTGGTTATCAGTATTTAGGAACAAAGCCACTGCTGTAATGAAAAAGTACTTTGTAGGTGAAAGTGGAAGTTGAGGGGACAGCTCAAGAAAAACTAACCCAAGAACAAGAGTCAAACTCACTGTGACTTGGTGCTGACGGTGTGCCAGGTTTTTCCTCATTCTCTGAAGACGAGTGTTCACCACATTCTGCCAAAGCCCCTTGAAGCCAAGTTTCTGTAACAGCCAGAAACAGACACAACTTTTATGTAATCCAAATCAGGGAAGTTTAGAGCTGGCTGCTCCTTACAGACAACGTGCTTGATGCTAGTCCTTGCAATAGCCAGGATTCATGAACTTCTCATCAAAGCAAGGCATCCATTTCCTCTCACAAACTGTCACTTCTCCAGTTTCCCAGCTGGAAGAATAATTGTTCTGGAGAGTAGCACAGTTTCCCCATTTGTATTTAACTGGTAGATTCCAGAACAGCTGAAATTTAGAAACCTGATGTCCAATCCAAACTTGCTACGGCATCTCCCACTGAACACCCCCACACCACTGTCAGCATTCCAGGGACAGTCCCCACAGCCCCTGCCACCTGACACCCGACAGTGCTCTTACCAACAGGTGATGTCTGTAGTGCTCTTCAGCCAGCTCACACTGCTGAGACTCTTCCACACACAGCACAACATCTGTCACTGAGTTAAAGGACCTTTTACACAGAGACATCCATCCCAACACACACACAACCTTCTCCCACAGAGGGGCACTACATCTCCATCTAAATTTGCTGCAATATTTGAATTTCCAGCACTGTTATCAGCAGAAGTTTTGACTAAAGTCAGGGTTTTTTTTTGATTTTGATGGCTTATCACAATGGATTTCTGATTCACTGTTAAGGAATTCCTGCACAACCGTAAATTATCTTCTGCAGGCTCTCAGGTGTCAACATGCTAACATCCTGTAATTGCAGCAGGTTAATTAATTGTTAGTATGGCATTACACGCATCTCTCCAATGATAACATGTTTGTTGTCACCCACGCTGCTGCCCAACATTCCTGCTTATTAACTGGATCTTTCCCCCACGGGAATGCTTTTAACCTGTCCGTGCTAGGGGTAAAGACAGACGGGATACAATGCTTCCAGCGTGCAAAGACTCTCCACAAGGCAATCCTTGCTGCTTGTTTTTCCAAGTCCCTTTGGTGAGCACAAATTCTTCTCTTGCACTCCAACAACTTCTGCCAGTTGGAGAAACAGCGCCGGAGTGTCCGGCTCCGGTGAAGCTCCTGGGCCAGCTCTGGTAAACAAACACAAATTACCCCTGCCTTGTTCTGTCCCGGGCTCTTTTGTGTCAGGAAGATCATGGCATCTGAGCCACTGGTTCTGAAGTTCAGTACACACAAGCTTGCTCACATTTCACCATAGTCCCAGCACTAGCTCCTAGTTATCCAAGCTGGGTTCTTCTCCACTACCACCAACCCAAAGGCAATTCACACAAACATCCAAACTCATTTCAGTGACTCCAAGGGAAGAAACAAAAGAACTGGTGTAATAACCTTTACCATCCTGCAGGAGTTTTGATTTGTCTGATTATCAAGAAAATCCACAGAATGCTCAAAATCCTGAATACATCCTTCCCACAGGTACCCCAGTTAGAATATAATACACAATGTGCAAGTTTCCATTGAGGGAACAGCAAAGCATTTCCTCTTCAATCACATGGAAGGCAGGTGATCTTCCCTGTGGTTCAGTGCACAACCTCTGCCAGCCAGGCCTGTCACAGTGTGCAGCCTAAGCTGCATCTCATCATCTGCTGGGCAGAGACACAGCAGTGTCTCCTAGAACAAAAAACCCCAGCAGTGTGCCCTAAGCAAAGGGGCTGAGCCCTTCCATCCCCACTCACCATTCTGACGTTTCTTCACTCTGTGGAGGTTTAAGTATCCCAGCCATGCTCGCAGGCATCTCCTCAGTTCCCAGTGCTGATGGTGAGTCACTGCCCTGGTCTCCTTCTGCTTCTCGTTCCGGCTGTACAAATACAGCTCTCGCCACTGCAACCAAGCCTGACAGAAGAATTGAGGGAGGGCAGTAAGGAGAAAAAACAAGATCAGGAAACTAGTACAAAGAAGAGAAGAGGAAGAACACACAGACAATAGGAAATTCCATGTAAGTTCTAAAAGGTGAAAGCCATGAGCAATGAACTTGCAATCTGAACTTGCCCTGATGCAGCTTCATTCCATTTGCTCATGTCCTGATACGCTACTCCTCCATAAGTACTGCAGTTGGCAAAGTAAATTAACACAAGGCCTAATTTTTATTCATCTGTGACATTTTCACATGTGTGCCACTTAAAACATTAGAGAAGTTTAAGAAACTCCTGGGACTTACTCGAAATTGCAGGCTCTGGGCCCAGTGCTGCAGAGCCACGATATTCATTTGATGTCCAGTGCATTTCTGGTGGTGTTGTCTTCTCCACACCGCCCACGAAACCCTGCCAAAACAACGTTACAGACAGGATCAAACACAGGGGCCATAATTCTGGGCAACAAATCACCCTTTTCTCATTGAAGAAAGGTATGAAAAACAACCTTTTCATAGACTCACAGAACAGTGTGGGTTGGAAGGGATCTTAAACATCATCTCATTCCCCTACCACGGGCAGGGACACCTTCCACTAGCCCAGGTTGCTGCAAGCCCTGTCAACCTGGCCTGGAACACTTCCAGGGATGGGGTAGTCGCAGTTTCTCTGGGCAAACCGTGCCAGGGCCTCCCCACCCTCACAGAAAAGAATTTCTTCCAAATATCTAATCTAGATCTACCCTGTTCAGCTTAAAGCCATTCCCTCCTGTCCTCTCACTGAGTGCCTTTGCAAAAAGTCCCTCTCCAGCCTTCCCGTAGGTTGCAGCTGGCTATTGAAGGCTGCTAGAAGGTCTCTTCAATTCACAGTCTATGGGTGTGCCAGAAGAACTCACACACCAAAAAGAAAAATTAAACCATTTTAAAAACAATCGAAGATGGAACAAAATCACTGCAGGAAAAGGTAACACAACCCAGGTAAGAGCCATGGCCTCGTGGTCAGCACCTCTCTGCCTGTTTCCATCCCATCCTTACCGCAGACAGCTTCTTTCCCTGAATGCCAGTGCCACAGCCTGCAGCCCACGCTTTGTCCTTTGAACATCAACATAAACCAGCCAGCACTGCCAGGTCCTGAGCAGCTTTTGCTTCTTTGCTGTGCACAATAACAAACAAAATGACAGCAGCTTAATTTCACACAGGAACCTGGCACGTTTGAGCTGCTGTCCTCGACTCCTGTCCCCTCAACCTGCAGGGACACCTCGTGGAAAGCCCTGAAATGACAGGGAAGCTCAGCCTGGGCGAGGGTGTCACACTGCCCAGTCCCAGAATCGCTGACAGCACCATCACCCACCGGTTCAGAGCAGCGTGAACGATCAGACAATGGCACTGCTTTGTCTTCAGCGCTTACAGGGTCTATAATGTGTAACAATGCTCACTAATGACCTTAGTGGGTAAGAATTACGGGATTTTCTTTAGTTCATTTTCAAAAAAAAAGAAGTTCATCAGGTTCATCAGTAGCTTTTCAGGAGTTACCATCTAGTACAAGCAGAGAAATCAACCAGAAACAAGCCAAGTTTATTTAGCAGGCTGGTCATGCAGCTAAAAACAGAAGTGGTGTCACAAATTCCATTTACCACTTTATGCAGTGGCTGCACTTTCTCCTCACAGTAGCCTGGCTGGTCAGAACTGATGCTATTGAAGCAAAGTTGTCAGAAGAAAACATCATTGATTCTATGCCCCTTCACATTTACACATGAAAAAAAAAAACCTCAAACTTTTTTTTTAAGATTTCCTTGTGAATCAAACATTAACCTACCTTATACCAGGTCATTTTTCTCTATTTATGACTAAGTAACACACAGCTTCTGCTGGAAATACTCGGGCCTCACTCAGTGAGAAAGGAATTCTAAATGGCTCTCTGATAGTCTGAGGCTACATCCTTGTGCAAGGAGACCAGGTAATTTATTTTGAAAATCAGCTCAGAACAAAACTATTGGAACCAATACAGCTCCAAAACAAATCCATTGCAGAGCAAAGAATCTACACAATGAGACCGGGGCACTTCAAAAGCTTGGGCTTCTTTTCAACTGTAAGACACAGCCTGGAAGGAACAGTGAATTCAGGTAAAATCAGTGCAGTTAATACCACAGGGAATAGTTATCTAATGTCTGTAGCCACAGCTGATAGAGAATTCCAATAATACATTCCATCAAAAACATATTTGAACACTTATTAAGTTAAAAAAAAATAAACCAAACAGATGATAAAACCAACCAAACCACCCCCTCAGAAACAAACACTGCCATCCAGAGCAGATGGAGAGGCCCTTAAGCTTATCCAGTGGCATCCCTAAATTACTCTGTAGCTACACCATAGTGCTCCCAGGGAATCCTCCTGCCAGCTCCAGCCATCTGCTCCTGGAAGCACCGCCCTGCCAGGGCCTGGGGAGCACAGGGACACAGATCCTGGGGGAATGTTCCCCTTGGAAACCCCCACCTCAGTATGTCCCCAGATAAAGACAGTTACCCTCACTTGACTTACCGTGAGACTCTGCAATCCAGTGTTTGTTCCTCTCCCCTCGCTGCTGGCACACAGAGGCTCTCCAGGCCTTCAGTATCCAGCTACAGAGGAAACGCCTGGAAAATGAAACCAGCGCCATGTGGTGAAACAGCCACCAATGACCACAAGTAGGATTCTTTCAAGTTCAGTTGCACTCTAAAGATATGTTGAAAAGGGAGTTTTGACTTCATCCTTAAGACAACAGCAATAACAAAGGGTAAGAAGAATATGACGATGAAGACATTGCTCTTGGCCTGGAGGTAGCACGGCTGTGACTGTTTACTGCTATTACTGACTCTTTCAGAACCCAAGGAAAAGCTCTCACACACACACCCCAAAGGGAAGTCATTTCACAAACCTGTAGTGGTTCTCTGCTCTGAGGCTGAGCTGCCTCTCTCTGCAAACTGTCCACCGCTCCTTCCACCGGCCAAAAGTCTTTTGAAGAATCTTCTGCTCATAAAAGGATCTAAACAGTTGAAAGATTTGGACACGGGGAACTTCACACAGGTTTCCAGAGTGACCACAAATCACTTTTAATGAAGATTACAGTACCTCTTCTCCAGCCTGGCCTGGTTAGTCTAACAACATCTAACTGCATTTAAAACCACTGCCCTACTGTGACACTTTATTCCAGGACTCTGTGAATATGACAAGAATCAACCAGTTTACTGACTGTAAAAACCTCACATAAAAGCAAGGAATAAGACAGATGTTGTTAACTTGCCAATTGACTTTAGACCCCCGAGTAACTTGCATATTTTATCCCCAGTTCTGTGTTTTACTCAAACAACCAGGATAGTTAATAACAATACATTTATTTTCCTTGTTATTTTGTTCTTTGCTATTTTAATACAAAAAATGTTATATATAGAAACAAATGCAAAACCTACATCAGATTTTATAATGCTTTGATGTTTCCATTGTGCTTCAGAAACAGCAAATTTAAAATCTTCCCAAAGAGCACCTAAATAGGCTCAGGAACTCCTTCAGCCAGTTGCACATCACCTGTGCTAAAAATGAAGCTGTTCATCTGTTCCTGTACCTGCCCCTTCCAGTGGATGCTGAGCCACGCTCAAAATGGACTCACAAGTCATATATGACCTTCAAATTCTTTAACCTCAGCAGAACAGTCTCTGCTTTTATGATTCTATTATCACACACCTGGCCAGGGAAGAAGCGATGGGACACATTTCAACTGAATTGTGAACAACTAAAAATTCAAATATGGGAAGATCTGCATGCAGGCATTGGGATTCTGCTCACCTAACTCAAATAATGGTCATAATCTAATATTCCAAAACTTTTCCATGTGGTCAAGATGACCTGAGCAGCAACCTAAGAACCTAAAAGTCTCATCAACTGGAATATGAATCCTTTCAAAAAATGTCTCACCTCTCTGTATCTCTGATGGAGAGAAGGTAAACAGAAGGACCCATGAGAACATACAAGCTAATAAACAAAAAGCTCACAAGCCCAACCTCACACTTTAAATCACAACTATCCCACCAGCTCTGTGAGATTGGTCGTGTCTGTAATAACAGCAGGATTAGGCCCAGAATACCAAGAGGTCCCTCAGTGCACACATACCAATCCTCTCACAAGTTGCAATTCACAGCCACCTACCCCAAGCCAAGTTGCTAAGTCATTCCAAACACTCAAGCAGAAAAGGGGAAAAAAAAAAGAAATAAAGAAGAAATGAGCTATATGTTATTTTTGGGGGGACTTGGTGCATTAACAGAACATTGCAAATGAAAGCTGTGGAGAACTAGGGATTTCTAAATCTAAAAAAGCAATTCATTGTTGCTTATGTTCCTTGCTGATCTTTATAAAATGTATTTCCACTTCTAAAAAAAAAAAAAAAAAATCAAATAATCATTGCCCTGAATTTATAGGCAGCCAGAGTAGTGCTAATGCAGTAGATGGGACATCAGTGATGGTGAGGTTCACAGGGCAACTTCCATTTACCAACTAAGGCATAACCAGAATACATTTGATACAGTGCAATCAGACTGAATCACTAAAGGGCCTGATCTGATTCCAAACGCAGCAAATGCAGCTCTTCCCACTGGGAACTGCTCCAGTTCCCAAGGGTGTGGTCAAGCAAGAATGAACGTGCAAATGAAAGCCAACCAAGAAAACAGTATCAAAGCGTTGGGTTTCAGCAGCTCACACAACACTAACAACAGAAAGGGATTATCTGCCACAGGTATTTCCACGTCAGACAGACACCAAAATGCACACTAAGAACAGCGCAAACGGCCAAATGAACTGAATTTTCAGATCTCTCTCATCATACCTTGGAGAAATGGTCAAATTTAATGCAGGAATCACAATCATACCCCATCATTTATATGCACAAACAGTTCAGCTTCATTGACACACCACAATTCCTGTGAATTCAGTTAGTAAAGTTTCACCATGACTGTTAAAGAAAAAAAGCAAGAGCAAGAAGGGTACTTAAAGGAAACCTCCAAGTGATGTCAAACTATATCCAGATACTTTCTTGGCAGGTAGAACTCTCTAAGCCCAGTGGTTTACCAGTAAGTCATCTAAAAAAAAACAAAGGAAACCCACCCTTGAGTTGTGTAATTTTATCTACCTGGCTTTGGAAGGGAGAACTTGTCCAAATGTCATTTTTGCCCACAGATAGAAGAATTTCTTTGTTAGATGTCTGGAACATAAGGAGAGGTTAGTTGTCTTTGTACTCCTCTGCAAATTCCCAAGCAGCAGTAAAAATAGGAACTTTTAGTTTCAGTAATAAAACCGAGGGTCTGGTTTTCAGGGATCAATGCATATATGAAATATTTACACCCTGGAATTAATACCTGTGACAGAACAATTCATCAGCCACAAACAGAGGCCCCAGCATCACTGCAAGGCTTCAAAGGGGACATACTTTAGGAAAGCCAGGTAGCCAAAATGTTTCCCACCTACACCCAGTGGCACCACTGAGCAGGGTGCTGCCTAACTGAGGGCCTTTCTGTGCTTTAGAAGTGTTAACATCACCGTTTCCCTCAAAGTCAACCAGCTGAGTCCAGAATACTCGAGCCAGTTTAATGTTTAGCCCTGCCTGAAACCAGATCTTCCTTGTTCCCACCTCCCCCACAGCAGTTCGGCTTGTCCAGCTCCGGCTCAGCTCACTGATGTGTCGCTGTGACACTGTAACCTTCCCTCCTTTTCTTTCCGGTGGATTTAGGAGTTAATTGGCACACGGAGGGCCCCAATCAGCACCGAAGGCTTCCCGAGTTAATTAAAGCACAGCCGTGAAAGGGGCCTCCCTCTTTCAGCAGCTCCAGTTGCTCAACAAATAACAAGCTTTAATCTCGAAAACAATTACATCCCACCTTGGTCAAGATTCTTTCAACAAACAAAAGAAGTAAAAAAACACTAAAAGAGAGCAAGAGGAAACCATTACACCTGGCAATGTGTCACAGAATACTGTTAAACAGCCTTTTTTAATGTTGCATTAGAAAATAAAATAAATGGGAAAGACTGTGCCAATGCTTGTCCTCAAGTTACCACAAGACATCTTCAAAACTGTCTGGCACGGCCAAGTGCAAAAACTTCTGCCTCAGCCTGCACTGGGACTACTAAAACCAGACTTCCGTAGCCCTGTGCAGCGAAAAAATACATTTTGTACTTATCACCTGGTCCGGAATCTCTTTAACCACCTTCTTTGATTCTGGGCACACCCAATTGGACTGGGATTGTCACGGCCTCCGTCCTGGAATTCCTGTCTGGCAGAGTGGGGAGCAACAGATTGGCCACTTGCACGATGGACTTGATGCCCAAGTGGTTGTTGGATTTCCTGCATCTTCAGGGATTTTGAACTTAAAAGGAAAGAGGAAATATTCTGTGTAAAAATCACACTAATGGTAAAGAAATGGCATTATTTCAATAAACTGATCTATAACAAAGGTATCCAGTCACCCACAGAGCAGCTACAAAACGCTAAAATATTTATTGTCTCTTTATCGGGTGTTTTTCACTATCTGGAGTTTCAATGTTAAAGTTTCCCCAGCACCAGCAGAAAGACACATTTCACTGCAATCATGTCACAGGCAATTCTTTTTTCCTCTAAAGCTGAAATGAAAAAGTACTAAAGTGCATTTGTGCTTCCACTCCCATTTGTGTGCACACAAGGTGTTTTTACAGAGAAGATTTGAATGTGGTTTTCTGCCTTTTATTCTCAAACGTATCTATTGCTGAGAGATTCTCTTGAGGACTTGGGAACTGAAGTGAGAATTTTCCAGTTTAACATGAAATGTTCTTTCACAAGAAACTTTTTCCTAGTTTCACTCATATCTTAACTAAGTATGTTTCTCCTTAAAAAAAACCCTAAAAATGTCTTCCTGTTTTACATATTCATCATTAAAAAACAAAATTAGACATATTTTTCCACCACACAGTTTGCTTTCACATGTAAAATCCCAAAAAATAACACGTATGTTCTCATGAATTCTAAGTATTTTGTCTCGGTAATTTTCTAAAAACAAGGATAAAAAAACCACCCCTAACCAGATAAAACTTGCTGAACCAGTTGCATTGAAGCTTCCTTCCCGAAACAAATGCTGCCACCACCCTGAGAATTTGCACATTAGAACCACCAACACATCCTTGAGCTCCAGAAGAGGCAACAGAAGAGGGTAGTCTGAAATGTCACCCCAATAATCACCTGAACTGAGCTGGGGAAAACACGGCTGCAACCAGAAAAAAATGTTGGTTTCACAGAGTGGTGGGAACAATGCAAGTTGGAGAAGTTCAGCTAAATAAGCACGGGGTTCCTGCACATCTGTTAGGACCAACTCCCTTTAAAACTATTTAATCTGTTCCAAAGGCAAACCTGGTCTGACCATACGCGATGGCAACGTCACACAAAGGAGTTCAAAAAAACAAATCAAGCTTGGGTAAAACATGCACAAGTTTTGTATTAAAGTCTAAGGCATGTGAAAATCTAAGGATTTTCCTAAATTTGAAACACTGCAGGTGCTGCACATATTTACTGATGATGGCCTGCACCCATGAGAATTTACGGCAACTATGAAAAATAAAATAAGAGATGGATCATTTCTCCCTTGTGAAGTTTGAAATGAAAGCATGGGAAGAATAAGAGAGCTGATACCATGGGTTAATCTGTGGTTGGACCAACAACCAAATGTGTCCCAGGCTAATACCTCAAGCTCAAGAACATTATTTTTATGTTTAAATGTTGTGATAATTTAAACCCCCACAAAGTTGTGTTCCATGATGGGTTTGGGAGTGGGGTGCTTGTTGTTCTCTTCATTTTGCTTTTAGGCAAGCATTCCACAGAGACCACTAAGGCTCCCTGTGAGAACACCTTAACTTTCTTCTGTCGTATGGAAAGCCTAAGATACCATAAATTAAAATAAAAATAAATTACAGCTGAGGTCTTTTAACAGGGTAGCTTCTTCTTACTGCTTACCTGCTCCTGACTTTCTCCATTTCACTGTGGTTCCAAGCCTGCAGTGCACAAATTCCCTCTCTGTTCTGCTATGCTGTCCCTCAGCTTAGGACAAAGCATAAATTGGTGCCTGTTATTTGTGATGAATCTATCAAATGGATCTGTGCTAAATGCAATATCTTAAAGACATGAATTCCACTCAGGTGACCAGCACACAAACAGCACAACACAACATGCAAAGTGTGTGTCTCCCAGCCTCGCTGCCCTGAGCTGTGCTGACAAAATCTAATGGTGAGGAAGTTACAACCCTTTGAATCCTAAGGCAACAACTGTGCCCACCTAAACAAAGATCTGCTAGAAAAGTGCTATAAGAGGATGACTCCAAGCTATGTTCCCCTAATTAAAAACAATTTAATAACCAAGGGTGACACGATCAGGAGCTAACCAAATGGACTCCTTTCCAATTATTTTTTTTTTAATACTAAGCTTCTTTCCTTCACAAGTACACAGAAATTACGAAAACAATGAATTCCAGCAACAAATTCTGTGTGCACAGAACCCTGTGCCTTCCAAAGACCTCGAGGGGATTCAGAGGCTGGGAAAGCACCTGGGCTTACGGACAGGCATCTCCTTGTAAGTGTGAGACTTCAAGAAGTATTTCTATAAGCCTGGCTTAGGGTGTGACAGAAAGAAAGCCAAACAGAATCCAAACCAAAACAAACAAAACCTAACTCCCCCAAACAAACATTCAACAAACCAATCAACCAAACAAAAACAAAAAAAAAAAAAAAACCAAAACCCCCACAAAATTTCTCTGCGGTTTTTCTCCACAAAATTCCTTTCAGCAGATAATCACATCTTGAATTTTTGTGCCAAACACTCGACACCCACACAACGCTGCTCCGCAGCCCCCCCTGCCCCCATGAGGGGCCGAGGCCGCGGCTCCCGCTCCCCGCCCCGCTGAGGGCGCTACGGACCGCGGGACCAGCGGAGGCGGGACCGGCACACGGAGCCGCGGAGCAGCAACCGAAACTCCGAGCCGCTTCCCAGGGGTACCGGAGCGGGAGGAGCTGGAGGAGCGGGAGGAGCCCGAGGCGGCCCCGCCGTGAGGGGCGGGCGCTCCCCGCCCTCAGCCGGGCGAAGGCGCCGCGGCGCCCCCTGGCGGCGGGTGGAGCGCGAACAGCCCCGGAGCGCCCGGGATTTACCGAGCGCCGGGACGGAGCGAGCCCGGGCTGGGGAACCTGCCGCGGGCACTCGTGAGCTAAAAACAGAGTCCCGACATTTCTGTGCCACCGGGCTTTCCTGCTGGGAGCGTCCAGCGTCCAGCACCCGCGGCAGGTATGCCCTCGGGAGCCAGCTGAGCAGCGATCCAGCTCATAACAGCCACGTGAACAGTGGAACACCACACGGCTCAGGACCTCTTAAATCCCACAGCATCTCATAACAACCACTCAGCCACAGGCTGGCGGCCCGCTGGTTGCTATCGAGTCTCGCTGTGTGTTTGTTTGTAAAGCAAGCTGGCCCGGGGAGACTAGGCAATTGTTGCAGTGCTGTCTCATTTAAAATGCAGCACTTTGTCGTGGAAGAAAAAAAAAGTGAGAAATATTTATTTCTTGTTTATTTCCGTCTCGTTCTTTACAGCTTTTAATGATGCTATTTAACTTTCTTGAAAGATCTGGGACGAAAACACTTTCTTCACCAGATCCTACATGAAATTCCTTTCTCATACACAGACCTCTGTGCCCAAGGTGTTCGGGGAAGCTCTGGTTCCCCCCTGGGCTCTGTGGCCGCAGTCGTGGGGATGCTGCGGGCAGAGCCGCGGACACACGGAGCCGGCGATCCTGCTCAGTAAATTCCCTAAAGTCATGTTGAGAACAATGTCTGGTCCTCACTGCTAATCACTAAAATCTTTGTCCGGTGCCTCCGGATCAGCTGCCCCGCTCACTGCACCAGACTCCGTCCCGCTGTCCCCGGGATCGCCACACCCGCACCCGGCAGGGACGGGTAACGGCTGGTTGGGAGCGCCGGGCCGGGCTGGGCAGGGTGCGGGCTCGGGCTGACCGGCCCTGTCACCCGCGGGCACGGCGGGACAGCAGAGCAGTGCCGGGGAGGCCCCGAGCCCGCGCGGAGAGCGCTGTCACCGCCCGCCCGCCAGCGCCGTGAGGGGCCGCGTGCGCCCCGCCGCTTCCCCCGCTCCTGAGGGGGACGGGACCGGGCTGGGATCAGGGACGGGGCCCAAGATGGGATCGGGGACGGGGCCCAAGATGGGATCGGGGACGGGGCCCAAGATGGGATCGGGGACAGGGACAGGGATCGGGACCGTCCGGTGCCGCCGCTAACCACACGGCTCTCCCCGCGCCCCTCCGGCCACCCGCCCCGCAGGGCTGCCCGCCCAGACTGCCTGCGGGCCCTCGCCGCGCCCCGCGCCGCTCCTCACCCGCCGCGCCGCTCTCGAGGTGAGCCGCCGGTGCCGCGGCCGGCCCGCGGCGGGGGCTCCCTGAGGGGGCCGCGGCGTTTCCCGCCCGCTCCCCGCTCAGGCGCCGGGCGGGGGAGCCCCCGGGCCGCGCGCGCGCGCCGCGCCTGCGCGCGGGGCGTTAAATGGGTGCGGGGCGGGCGGCGCGAGGCCCCGGCTACGGCGGCTGAGCGGAGGCGGCGCCGGGCGGAGCGGGAGCGGCGCGCGGGGTACGCGGGGGCCGGGGCTGTGCGGGGGGGGCGGCGGGGCCGGCCCGCGGCGCGCGCGGCCCCTCAGCGGGGCACGGGCGGCCGGGCGGCGGAGCGGGGTCGGCGGCCGGAGCAGGAAGCGCCGCGGGCGGCAGTGAGGCCTGGAGCGGAGCGGAGCGGCGCGGGACGCCCGCCGGTGAGTGCGGGCGGGCGGGCGGGCGGGTGGGGATCCGCTGAGTCACCTGCCCCGCCGCTGCCGCCGCCCAACTCCCGCGCGGCCCCCGTGCCTCGGGACGGCGCCCGGGCCGCGCTGCCCCCGCGCCGCGGGGCGAGCGGAGCCCGAGCCCGGCGAGGCCCGGGAGGTGGGTGGGCAGGCGAGCCCGGCGGCCCCGCGCCCCGGCCGTGCCCCCGGAGCGGGGTTCGCGGTGTGGGAGCTCCCGGGCCGGGCTGCGGGAGCGGCTCAGATCCTCCGGCCGGAGCCGCTGGGCTCGGGGCTCGGGGGCGGCACCGGCTGGGAACGGGCGCTGTTGGGGAACCCGGCGCTTCCCTGCGGTGCCCAAGTGCCGAACTGGCTCAGGCTGGAGGGAAGACTCCCTCCTCCAGAACCGCACGGCTCGAAATCTGACGGCTTGGTTTTGTTTTAATTAGCTCCGTGGTCAAAGGCTTTGAAGTAACCATGGATAAAAGAGGAGGTGTAACAGAAACGGAAAATGGCGATGCTTTCCTGGAGCTGAACAGAATCCCAACCAAATACCCGCATCGTTACACTAAGGTCAGCTCCCCTTTCCTCCCGGAGTTGTGTGTGGAAGTCTCGGCCACACAAGTAGAGTGGGAGGTGGAGGTTCTGTAAGAGGGAAGCAGTGAGGTGAGAGCTGAAAAGCCTTCGCCTGGATTAGGATTTGCGAGGTGGGGTAAAACGAGCAGCTTGTTAAATGTGATGTAGCTGTGCAATCCTGTCCTCGAGATACTTCTTGATTCCCACTACCTCATTTTAATATCTGAGCACCCCACAGCATGTGCTGAGATTATGGTAGAGACTGAAGTATGTTGTTCTACCAGCTCTCTCAAGCACTTACTCTTCACAGTTCTAGTTCTGCTTTCAGGAGAGTTCCTTTCAGAGGTTGACCAAAATGTTTCCTTGCAGTAGGTGCCACTTCCTAGGAAGGTGTAGCACACAAGATCTTATCAGGAGTTCTAACGTGTTTACTGGATGCCTTCTGTAACCTTAGAATTGCTCATATTTGGCTGCTGGAAGCTTAAGCAGTTATGACTCCAACCAGTACTTAGTATTAAAACTTAAACACAGGTGCTTTTGTTTAACTGCGACACCTAAATATGTGTATGAGTGGAAGAACAATGACTAAATAACTTGCAATTAAAGATTATTTCAGTGCTGAGTAAGTTTAATGTGCTATGTTTAGGGCTCAAATCTTGTTTGGGGTTCTGGTACCACTGATGAAAACTGCCTTTGGAAAGAGTCTGGGATGGGGGCTGGTTTTCCTGTGGCTCCAAGCTGTGGGAACAGGTGGTCATTGCTTTGTGGAAATCTGTTAAGATACTTTACAGCAAATGGCCTGAAGTGTGGAACAGGGTGAGACAGTTTACTGTTGCTGACTGTTATCTTCCTTGAGGAATTCAGAGCTGTTGGTTTCGTGGTAGGTTGTTTTTTGAAAGAAAAAAAAATTATCGTTGTGGCCCTGTTCTGTTGAGATAGTGGAGCTCTGGCTTATTTTAACTAGACATCAACAATAAACCACGTACTTCAGAACTGGCAGAACTTCATGGGAATAGCGTGGCTTTCTAATTCTTTAACTTCTTAGAGAAGATGGGCACTTAACCTTGGAGGGTGTAGAGTATACTTTCAGGGCTTGCTATTCAGTTGAAGTGAAGGAGAGGAGCTGCTTTTAGACTTTCCCTGCTGAAAAAGTGGTGTCTATCCTTGCTCTGTCCTGCCCAGCTCCTCTCAAGAGTACTAACTGAATGCAGCTTCAAATCCTGCTTTTTGGGCAGCTTTCAGCCAGTGCTGGTAGTGGCTGTGCACTGAAACCAATGTATTTTTAGCATCAACTTTGTTAATTCAGTACCTACAGTTTCTGATCATGATAAAGTTGCAGAACTAGTGCCAGAAGGTGTCTAGTCTTGTTTACCTGTTGGTTTCCAAGGAGCCTGGATCAAGAAATACCAGAAATCAGTCTGTGTTGAAATATCTTTCCTCATATTATGGCTTTTTTACATGTAACAGGTTAAACGTAGCTGGTTTAAGGTGCTCGTTAATCAATATTGTAAGGCACTTTCAGATGTTTCAGTATCCTACTAGTTAGGGATTGAGGGAGCACTGTTTTAGGATGTGTGCTGTTGATTTGGAAAGGGGACTGATTTCCTTTAGTGCTTTATATTCACTTACTAGTAGTAGGAAAACAATTGACTCGTACTATGAGTGGTTCTGTTTGATTAAAACTGTTTAGTAACAGCTAAATACGCTTTTCACCTATCTACATAAACGTCCTAGTGTGTGAATGAAACAGAAAACCACCAAC